TTGTAAAATAAACCGTTAAGATACATTACATACTTGTTTCCGATGTTTTTGTATTCATTTCGGTACTGTATTCACCTTCCCCAACAATAGTAGATGCAGACACCTGAAAATAATCATAATTTTATGCAATAATAGATAACATGTAATATGAAATTAAATAACATTTTTATACTTGAATGTGTTCTCTTTTAACAACCATCTATGCTTGCCTCTCCTCCTCCTCCTCCTCTCATATTCATTTGAACCACAGTAGCTCTAAAATAAGCACATCTCCAATAGAAGTGCATATAAACAAAGTTTAGTGTAAAACTGGATCATTAACTTATGAATTATTTTGAATAACAGACATACCTCTATCAGTTATGTAGGTTATTAATTGAGTAAATATTATTTTTATAATTTTTTTTAAATAATGCCATATAATTGATAATAATAACAACTGATATTTACTGAATCTTTACGAGTATGTTAACAGAAAAAAAAACTGACTTTATATATATATACATATACACCACAATCAACTATAGTCAATCACCGGTCAAACAAATGTCCCACTTGTGAATATTGCGAGAACAAACTTGTTTACAAAAACAGTCCGCTTAATAAAAAAATTGTCAATGATGAAACAGTCATTTCCTAGTAAATGGGCAATTTTTCAAACGAGTATATTAGTAAACGCAAAACAAAAAAAAATTCCTTTTAATTGCTAACAAAATATGCCTACTGAAAATTTTCTTTTATTGAATGTCGGCATCTTACTTGGAACAATGGGTATGTAACAAAGAGTGGTATAACTCACTATTATAGTATAGTTAACTTCGTAATCCAGATTATTGATATTGAGTTCATGTGCACCACCATTATCTACCAATATATCCTTTTTTGTACTCTCATCACTTGTTTTCCAATATGTTATTTTATAAGCTGTTATTATTCCATTGGGTGGGTCTGGTTCTAACCATGTAACAGTAATTGTATACACTGCTGGTTGTAGTGTTACATTTCTAGGCTTAGAAGGAACTGTAATACAAACACATACAGTATATTATGTTATAGGCTGTTATTATACAATTGGGTAGGTCTGGTTCTAACCATATAACAGTAATTGTATACACTGCTGGTTGTAGTGTTACATTTCTAGGCATAGAAGTAACTGCAATACAAACACATACAATATATTGTGTTATACTATAGGCTGTTATTATACCATTGGGTTAGTGTGGTTCTAACCACGTAACAGTAATTGTATACACTGCTGGTTGTAGTGTTACATTTCTAGGCTTAGAAGGAAATGTAATACAAACACATACAGTATATTATGTTATAGGCTGTTATTATACAATTTAGTGGGTCTAGTTCTAACCATGTAACAGTAATTGTATACACTGCTGGTTGTAGTGTTACATTTCTAGGCTTAGAAGGAACTGTAATACAAACACATACACTTATTTATGTTATAGGCTGTTTATATAGCATTGGGTGTGTCTGGTTCTAACCATATAACAGTAATTGTGTACACTGCTGGTTGTAGTGTTACATTTCTAGGCTTAGAAGGAACTGTAATACAAACACATACAGTATAGTATAGTATAGTATATTATAGGATGTTATTATACCATTGGGTGGGTCTGGTTCTAATGTAGCAGTAATTGTATACACTGCTGGTTGTATTGTTACATTTCTAGGCTTAGAAGTAACTGTAATACAAAGACACATATTATATTGTGTTATATGCTGTTATTATACCATTGGATGGGTCTGGTTCTAACCATGTAACAATAATTGTTTATACAGCTGGTTGAGTGTTACAGTTTTCGACTGTAAGGAACTTTAATAGCAAAATACAGTATGTTATGTTATGGGCATTTAATATACCATTGGTTGGTATGGGTTTAGCTATATAACAGTTAGTGTAATGGACAACCATGGACAAAACATACATGTATTGTACTTGTGAATGATAAATCAACTTACCATCCTCATTTGATACGACAGTCACTGAATTACTTGGTGGACTTGTAGCATCAGCATTTCTAAGCAGAGCAATGACGTCATACTCTGTGTAATGTAGTAATGATTCAGCAGTAAAAGTGATAACTTTTGTACCCGTTACAATTTCTTGGTAAACTTCTATCTTTCCTATCTCATATTCGTCTTCTGTACCTGTCCTTCTATACTTCACTTCAATGTAATCAATGTAACCATCCACACCATCCTTTTTACACTTTATATCACTACTATGAGGAACCTGAAATATTGAAACAATAACACACTGTAAGTTGTAAACACTATCAATACAAATACATATAAAATAAGTGTGTGGCAAGTTGAATTTAAACTGTACTGTAAGTACATTTATAAAACTTGAGATACTTTTAATACTCAATGAATATTAGAGTGATTGTACTTATTGTTAAACAGATTTAAATATGTAAAACGTTAGACTTATTATCCCATTGTATCATCCTAACTGTCGCCTGAGGGCGCTTGCCTCTGATCGATACTCCCTCTTTTTTTTACTCGCTGGCTATTATTGCTACTCAAATTAGCAAATATTTCGAAAATCCCAGCCTCGCACTCGATACAAACTACAGGCATTATGCCAGTAATTATTAAGTCTTTGATATTGCTATACAAATATTTAGTGAAATCATTATAGTACGAGGTATGGCATATTATATACTAATATAAATAAAATATTAGACAGAAATAACTTGTTTAGTCTATTGTTGATAAATTCATTTTGCTTGTAGTATATTGCTTGAAAATAATCGGGCAACATTTTTTATAACACAATGCTACACGCTTCAATGGTTAGTCACTGAGTGTTTCCTCTTAATTAACAATGCCCCAAGAGAAACCATTGACGGCATGATCATCATAACACTTTTTTAAGGTTTGTGCATGTTGAAGTGTAGTTTACTCTGAAGTCAAAATGTTCCTATTACTAAAAACCGAAAAACTGAAAAACAATGCCAGAATGCTACAGGATATTACACGGTGTCTAGTCCGGCAAATTATCTAACACCTTCATTTTAATAATGCATTTGGAGCAGTGTTGAACATACGATTCTCAGTAATAACAGGAATGCTAGATCAATATAGCTACAGTTAATGTTGTGATATTATTTATCACTCGATGATGATGTATGATTAAAATATAATGAAAAAATAAATAAATACACGCTAGCATAATTAACAACAGTCAAGGACAATGACACCATTTTAGATCATTAATGGAGAAATATGCAAAAAACAACGCTCCTGTCAGAATGCTATTGCATATATCAAAGTGTTACACGAATGCGGAAGTGAGGGAGAACCATAAACTTCGGATTTCGTGTTCAACAGATTCAAATTGTCTAATAATAATAAATAGAGCGTCTCACACAAAACTACAATATATGAGTATGGCAGCTGTCCATATAACTTATGGTGACTATTATGACCTGTTAATGTACCAAGTTAAAACGTAATCAATCAAAGCATGTGTGAGAAATGACTCCACATATGCCAAAAAATATCAGGTACCCAAACATTATAGCAAGTTTGAAAAAAAATGGCCGCCAGTTGGTCCTTTTGAATAAAAATATACAAAAACACAATACACCCAATACACAATACACCCAAGATGTAAAACCTTCATAACTTTCACAAAGTTTGAAACATTCGGTCTAAGTGTGTCCGGTTTTAGTGCAAATCTGAAGAGAATCTTGAATCCAAACGAACAGATACACGGACAGACAAAGACAAGACCACACGACCCTGTTTTGGCCATCACAAAATTATCTCATGGGAAAATGTATTCGACTAGGTTTTAAGTATGTGCAAGGACTGATTAGAATCGGTCGCGGCATGTCTGAAATACAGTTCTGGGCACAGGCATGTCATCCACAATTCTACATATTCAACGGGACAGAACAGGACATAAGACAAGCAGAGCTGCATTGGTTACTTGCGATATACTCCCAGAATATATGAGATGTTCTTCAGTGACAACATTGGGAAATTTACAGTATCAAACAATGCGTGCCTTCCTTCTCATAGAAAATGTCCGCGCCGCTGTATTTGTGGGATATTAAGGTGAATTATAATTACGTAATTTTTTTTTCACACATTTTTTAAATGCAAATTTATTACTGTAGTTTCAACTTTTATAGAGTAATTACATCTTTGTCGAAAATAAACATTGTCATTGACGATGAATAACTCATATCCACCAACAATGCTTGATGGCCTTTACGTGGACTGATTCATAACTATTAAATAGCGTCACACGGTGATATGCTAAAACACTAAAATGTTCTTGTCTTGCGCTGCTCTGTACAAGTAAAATTGAATTTCTTAGGCTTACCAAAGTCAGACTCTACCCATTTTTGACATTCTACACAATTATTGTTTCGATCAGCATTTTGACGAATAAACTGTTTTTTTGTCGAAAATATATAATGGAAACATCTATTCCCTTGATTTTGCAGGATTATAAGAACTTGCAGTGATAAAGTAGTTCTATGAATGTTTACCTGAACATGAACTTCGAGTTGTTTCAACTCAGGTGAAAATACATTCATAATTGTTGGTTCTTGTGAGGCTGTAATATAATCGAAAATGTATGTAAAGTTCATAATAAAATCTCTGAAGAAACTTTAAATGTTAAAATGAATTTTTAACGCAAAGCTAAATATTTTACAAATTCATATGCAATTTAATGTGTCGAGGAATCTAACTCTTTTAAACTTTGTTATTTGAAACATATTTTTGGTCTACCTTTTAGTCTTGTAATGTAGTATATCTTCTATCTTTTTTGTGCAATTAATCTGGGACCAATCACATAGAGGATGGTATAGAGTATGATGGAATTTTGGTTCGCTTACTATAGTTTGTGGTTTTAAAGCGTCTATATACATGCATACTAGTGTAAGACCATTGTTGCTAGATTCGTTTTCATGAATTAGGGTTTGCAATATTCCTACTCAAATATATCAATCATACACGATCGTTCACAAAATCGTACAGTCAATCCCGGCAGTCAGTCAAGTGGACGTGCTTCGGGAGAATAAATGTTCTAATTTGCGATAGATACGTTATAATAGGTTTATCATTGTATGCTTGAGAAAAAAATAACATATTTAGTGGGAAATAATAACTTTAATCGCCAAATGCACTCATTTTCACTAGTGAGGTCTTTTATAATCTACCATCCAAAAAATATACAAAGTGGAATAGAACAAAATAGTTCTTGCTTTGCGTCAGTTTATGCTAGATTGTTGAAACTATATTGAATGTGAAGTATGACATTTTATGTGGGGAGTATGTTAGTGATGTTTGAAATCCCATAAATTAAAGAATATAATCCCACATACTTGCA